AGGGCATTAAATATCTTTGATATATCAAACAGTTTTATTCTTCCACCTTCCACGTGTACTTTAGCTAATTTCGAATTGTTTTAAATGATAACGGGATTACGGGACATTTATTTATCATTTTAGAGGATTGTCAGCGGCCGCATCGATGGATTCGAAAAGCTTTCCAGGATGATCGGTTATGTTGTCAGTAGTCATTGTGGAATTTTCTATAATTTCGATTTAGAAGAAACCCGAAACCATTGTAATTGGGATGACATGTGGTCATCTAATAAACAAACATGACATGTTCTTAGGATACACACGGTAGCTGCTGTATTTCAATCGGGCAAAAATTAACATGGTCGCAGTGTTAATTAGGAATCGCCTGTTATATTGATTTAAATATACAATGTGTAAATTTCGATGTTTGCAATTAAAAAGTAAAGATCAATTATTATTATTCTTCTTATTCTTATTATTTAGATTAATCAAATCGCTAATTTCTTGGATTCTAAATAAATCAATCGAAAAGGAATTAACAATCTTATACGTGGATTAATTAAGTTTCATGAAATTTCTATAAAAAAAAAAAAAAAAAAACCACAAAGAAAATGCACGGTTTATTAATCTTATATAAATTATTGCGGGCATAAATAAATGGAAAATTCGATCGTTGTAATAATTAATAATAATTGATAATGATAAAAAAAAAAATTTTTTTTCACGAAAATATTAATTTTTTTTTTTTTCTTGATTTCAATAAAATAATTTTTATCTGCAAAATTTATCGAAACATATAGTTTTTAATTAACAGGCAATGCGATTGGTGATTGTATTTTCGACACCTAGTTCCAAGACCTCGACTCCAAGAATATTATTATTTTAGCCTAGGATATGCAAAAACAATCTAATGTAGTTATTATATAACGTCTATCTGTGCAGGATTAAAAGTGGATCTAATCAAAGTAAAAAAAGAGGGATCGTAATTTATGCTAGTAGAGTTACAAAAGTAACAATATTCGACGAGCCGTTAGGAATAAAATTTCCTAGAGTCGATGTTGTATGCTTTCGCGTGGGAGTCACTGGAAATGCGCTAATTACACTTTGTGATTAGCATCTGGCATAAACAGCGAAAAAACTTTTATTGGTTGAAACTGAGATAGATGTATGCAAAATTCATATGCAATTGAAACAGTTTCATCCTGTTTCGCAGGCCTTACATATTTGGGCCACCCAAGGATTTCAAAATTTCTTGGTAAATATGATCGACAAGGCTCTTTATCGTTGATAAGAAGTTAAAGATGTTAAAAGATCGGCGGGATTGGAAATAACCAATTGAGCATGAATTTATAAACGTTTGATATGAATAGTACAGTAATACATTTATTATTAATCTCTGAGCAGCATATAATATTCGAAGGGTGCTATTAAATTGTAAAATTATTATACTAAAATCTATTTTTTCTTCTAACGCTTATCACATCGTTTTTCATCTTCATCCAGACCATTTTCCTTTTTTAATACATCTGCTTGTACTTGCAATAAACGTGCAATGTAAGATACAATATTTTTTACTTCTTGATAGTTCTCACCAAAACAATTACAATAAATGTCTTTGATAATTTCAGCTTTTGATTTTTCCAATGGATAAATCACCAAGCATGTCCTGTTGTTACTATCATCTGGGGCAATGGATCAGAACCCATTGACAAATTCTGTCAAGATTTAATAATGGTAATTTATGAGTTAAAGATTCTAAGAAATAATCCAAAATTAATTGCCTCGGATCTTACCTCGGCTGCAGTATGTATTTTACCAAATTTTGGGCAACTTACTTTTCCATATCTTGTTTTCTTAGCCCCATTAGTCACTATTGGAACACTGTGTATAGACTCCACTTTTAATGTTGTCGTTGAATCTTTATATTATCGAATGTGTTTAACTGCGTTTGTCATAAAGACTGAAATATATTCACGTATTGTAGCTTCATTAGTGTTTATGCAGTTATTAAGTATGAATGAATGTCTTGTCCTTGAGTAATTCAATAAGCTTTTCGCGTCACTTATCGGTGGAATTAATTAAGGAAAACTCTCGATATTTAGCTCTTGCATTGAATCGAGAGTCAAAAGCGTTCTTATAAATCTCGCGAGCCACTTCCAATTACTGAATGCCTTTTTCCCTTTAATTTGTACTCAAAGATTTAATTCATACTCATTTAATTTGTTCGGTTTTAATAGGATCAACATATGATAAAATAAAATTTCATCCTCGATTTGTTCTTCAAAGTTAAGTTATTTCGATCACCCGAGTTTTTCATGATAACAAAAATAATGTTGGCTGTCGCAAAAGTAAATTAAATAGCTCCTTTATTTTTTTTTGAAGCAGATGTCAAGCTCCACTAATATGGGGTGTTCGGCATTTACAAATATCTGAAGTTTACACATGACTACTAATCAATCATATACAGTAATTAATGCGGTTGTTTAGTTATTTAAAAAATTACTTTATACTTACCGATTATATCGCTAGTCTGGCAGCGTACTACGAGTGGTAATTTAGCCAACGTTTCCCGAGCCAGAGGTTGTAGAGGAGTGTCTGGTGGAATTGGCGTGCTGCGATCGTCGTAGCGAAAGAACTCGATACGACTCGGTGCGATAAAACCCATCACATCCCTTAAAAAAACCTTAATATCGTCTAAGTCAGAAGCTTGCGATAAGTCAATTTTCGATTTATAAAGTCACATTGATATTTTCATGTCTGCTGAGCTTTGTGCGAAAATTTCGGACATCCATATTTGGCTCGTATTACTGCGACAGAATATCCATGTTCCACAGATTTACGAGATTTTATTCTTGTATAAAAAATTGTTGATTACGACTTTCTCGCTAGACAAAAATAAGGTTTATCTTAGATCGTAGATAATAAATAACGTCTCAATGCAAATTCAATGAAATCTTACAAATTTATATAAACTATAGCATTAAGATTAAAGAAAGAAAAAAAGAGAAATCCATGGTTATTTGGATAAGCATCAACAAAAAATTTTTCTTTTATTGAAAATTTCTCAAAAACTTTGTATTCTTTTAATTCAAATTTTTCTTGCATTATTGAAATACTGCAAGATTTTATTTATTTAATAAAATTTTATAAAATAAAAAATCCATACATATAAAATATAAAGTTTGTTATATATTTAAACCCATTTTTATTAAAACCTTGCATTGTAAACAACAAGTTTTTAAATATAAAAAATTGTATATTTTTTTAGCATGTTTTCGTGGTTTGCCATTATTATTATTATTTTTTTTTTATTTGTCTGTTTTTTTGATAGCAAACAAATATTATATAAAAAACTCGATGAATATTAAAATCTTTATTATTTTAAATACTTTGTATTATTTAAAATAAGATTACCATTAACTTATTACAACCATCAATTATTTATTTTCTGAAAATACCAAAAATTAAAATTTTAAACTAAAAAATAATTACCAATAAATAATATGTATTTAAAAATATCTAATCTAACATGATTTTAAAATTTTTTAATGAAATAAAAAAAAATATCAAAAATTAAATTTATTCTAGAAATTCAAATATATTGTCAATTATTTAAATTATTTAAATTATTTAGTAATTTAATTAATTATATCATTATAAAATTATGGTTCAGTTCAAAATAAATCAGAATTGGATTTTTCTTATAATTTGATAATTTCATTATTAATTTATTTTAAAATATCAATTTAAAAGTTGAAAAAAAAAATTTTTTTTAAATGATTTCAAAATTTAAATATAAATTTATATATAAATTCTGTTTAAAAAATAAATTTTTCAGAAAAAAATTAATTATAAAATCTAAAAAAATTTTTTTAACTTATAAAATAATTTCTTATCATGTTTAAATAATAAAATAAAATTTTTTATTTTGTAAAATTAATTTTAAAAAAATTCATGTGAAATTTGAATTAAATTATTAAATAAAACAAAGTTTTTTTAATAGTAAAATTATAAAAAAATTAAATTATTATAAAATATATTCTTATTTAACAAATTTATCTATTGAAATAATTTTATTGATTTTTTCTTAATAATTTTTTTTAATGAATTTAAATTAATTAATTTTTTTTTTGAAAAAACTTTTAAATAATATATTTAATATTCAAATAAATATTCAATATTTCAAATTATTAAAATTAATTTATACTGTATATCATCTTTTATCTTAAAATATAATTTTTTATGTGTCTCTCTATTACATGTATATGATGTAAGATAATGTAATACTACGCGTACTACGTCTCTCATAAATTGACGCGTATCTTTGATATAAAATAAGTGGATTTTCACATATCAACCTAACTTACTTTTCCTCTCTATGCCTAAGAAACCCCTTTTTTAAAAAGACCTTATTTATTCTCTTTCTTTTCTTAGACTAAAAAAGAACTTCTCGGAAGCCCTTTCTTGAGTCTATGATGTCTGCGGATTTCAACAAGGAGTTAGTCATGTTTTGAGAAGTGACCAGTTTCAAGAAACAACACATAAGCAAGTGGCGTTATAATGTTATATTTCCAGATTTGTCGTGACTATTGGTATGGCCTGAACTAGTTATAAAGGTATCATGAGACTTTTGCGATCAAGAATATGTTTTACTTCTAGTCGGCATACAACTTTGGTACTCTGTCTATACATTGTGAAAAAGTTGAAATATTATTCTATTTTATTTCTATTCTATTTTTTTTTTATTTTATTCTGCTCATCATTTCCTATTCTATCGTTTTCATTTCATTTGTCAGCCTAGTAATGTCCACTGATTTCAAGTAACGGAGTTGATATGTTCCGTATGTGCATATAAAAAACTCGATTTTTTATGAGCCATGCATTACGACATTATAGGGCAAGTGATGTATAGTACTGTCTTCTTGAGTTTGTCATGACTAGCAAAAGTTGGATTTGTCGACGAGTATTTACGTGATCTAAGCTTGTGCAAAGTGTCATGGAACTTTGTATCTAGACGATTAAAGAAATACTACTACTGAAAAGAACAGAACTACTTTAAATATCTCGATCCAAAAATTCAGTACCTCTAGTTGGAAAACAGCTCTTTAGGGGACCTCTTCTATAGTTAGCAGAATGAGTTAAGTATTTTATATTTGACTTTTTTTAGCTTTATTTTTTTTTTTCCTTTTTTTTTTCAAGAGTGTTTTTTTTTTTTTTTTTTTTTTAAGGAACGATGTTAAGATATATGAATTTAATTTATTCTGTATTTGTTATTAAATTTTGATTTTTGAACATTATGATTAACTATTCTTTTTATGCTAAATGACCATCGCGATTTGAAAGTTTATTACCTCTAGTCGTTATACAAATCAATACAGAGATCTGCCTATATATTACAAAAAAAGTCTTTTTTTCTGGGGATTTTTGTTTTTTTTTGAGGAAAGAGATAATATGTGAATACTGTATTATTTGATAAAATATTTTGTTATATATAATTATCTTTGTGTTTTATGAATATTTATTTATTGTCTTCGTTCTATATCTTTAATAATTTTTATTATGTAATTATATGAATTAAATATAGATATTAATAAAATAATTTTTGTTTTATTTCGCCGTGTTTCTTTTACTTGTTTAGGTCACTTTTCTGACCTACGTTTACTCTAGTCTACTAACCTTCCTTTCACAACTTCCAACTGATCTTCTCTAGGCAGCATCGACGACACTCTTAATTAAGCCATCCATGCAGCAGGGTCTGCAACGTCAGGATGTAATTCAATGGTTTATCACAAATATTTTTAGAAAAGTAGGCTTTTCTGTCTGTTTTTTCCTATTTCCTTCCGATGTCGGCAGCACCAGTCGTTCTCTCTTCAGTTTCATTATCCTCTTTTGGATTTTCTTCAATCACTATCAATATTTTCTTCCAATTGGAAGGATATGCAGCTGGGCTTAATATCTCCAGCCGTATTTATTATTGGGGTTAGAACTACTACGTGTCTTCCTTGTTGCTTCTTTATTTTCCTTAAAGGATATAAGACATTCCATTTCTTCACAAATCTTTATTACATTTATAATCCACCTTATAAGATTCCTCACTATCAATTTCGTTAGTAAGTACCTTCTTAGTCTTATTATTCGAGATCGGACCTTCACTTAACATCTCGTGATGGTTTTCCTTCCATAGGTACTAACAGTATTAAATTTCTCTTTATATGGCGTCCGCTTCTGATTCTGATGCTCCTGTTTGATTAGTGATGGTACAATTCGACAGGATCATTATAAGCGGTGGGTGTCCTTGCTTGGATTTATGTTTAATCTTGTTTTGGCGGTGTCACTTTTTTTTTCGATTGTTATCCCTAACTATTTATCTTATTAATTGGTTCTCTTTCAGTATAGGGTGGTATAATACCTTCAGCTTCTTCGATTCTCTTTTCCACATCAATTGCTCCCCCTGGCGTTGTTGTGTCTTTAATGTTTTCAATTCATTTGGAACTTTTTACTACACATATTTTTAGGTAGGTACTGTCAAGGTTAACCCTTCTCAGAAACCTTCAGAACTTATAAGCGTACCCCAATACTTTTTCATTATTCTTCTATTTTAGACTGGTAAAGTCGACTTGCCATTGATCTTGTTGTTCAGAAGACATGACATAAAATAATGCCGAAAGGCCAGTATGAAGCTTCCTTTGTATTCACGTTCATCATTTCAGAAGATGAGGTGTATCTGATAATATTTATACTATCTGCTGCAACATCTAAATAGTTATTTACTATTCTCAATTTTTTCTCGTCCATCCTTTTTGTTCACTTTAGCCATAAATGTGGGTCTTCTCTTTCTACTTCTTTAAATCTAACTTTTGTAAGACGATTCATTGCTTTCATTAACTAACGGTTTTATCCACTCTTTAGTGCCATTCTATTGCCTACTGGTTTTGGGAAGTTACTATGTCAACCATCTATTTTATTGTTGATTAGTAATCAAGTTCTTGCGCAGGTTTTCTAAGAAGGCAATTACTTGCTTTGATGATTATATAAGTTGGATCATGATGTTCTCTTTAGGCGTATATGGTTACTAACAAACTTTTCTGTTTGTCTGATTCCCAATCCTTCGCCACAAGTCTCTTGTGGGATTCTTCTGAATCGACGAATGTCCAATTAGGTATGTTTATCACTTTTCGTTGCGCAAGTATAGTTTATTAACTGCCGTTTTTACAATTCTATTTTATTGCCGCTTATTACCTGCAACGTATCTACTGATCTAACATGCACAACTTTCCAGATTATTGTAGATCTTGATCACTAGAGATGTTAAAGGTTTGATCCTTAAACGATATAAATAAAGACCATTTAAGAATCGGATTAAATCGTTATATTTGTGATCCTATGGTCCTATTTGTAAATGGCTTATATGCATACAATTATATTTTATTACTATTATAAAAAGTAATTCTTTATTATCGTTAGATATTAAAATATTAATTTTTGACAAACTGTATAGCAATATAGCCAGTGAAAATTTTATCAATCAAGTAAGAAAAAAAAAGATATTTTCCAATATGTAATCATCTCGTAGATATACAATATCTGTTTCTTAAATACTTGTTACATTATTAAATTGTTGTATGCTTTTTCTTGAGCATGATTATGTACAATAAAAAAATAACA